AGGTGTGCAGGATCCGAGAGGAGCAGGTCGCCGGTCTCTTTGTCGAAGCTCGGCATGACGCCTTGCTGGAAGAACATGATGTTGTCTGGATCGAGTCCGAAGTGGTTGTGTTCTTTGAAGAACGATTGTGTCTGCTCATGATTGAGCGGGCTGGTCATGATGTACCACGGGATTGTGGTGTTGTATTTGCGTTGGTTTGCGTAGATGGTTTGCGCGAACATCTCGAACAGTGATTTGTTGTTCACGCAAGAGGTTGGGTAGCAGCCTTTGGGGCCATTAAATCCCAAGCGGGAGCCTTGGCCGCCTGCGACGGTGAAGCACGCAACCTTCCCGGCTTTGATGAGTTCTTCGCCTTTGGATTGGTAGAGGGCGCGATCCCAGCTTGTGTCGTTGAGCGCGAAGTACGGCGCGGGAGAAATCGTTTCGTCTGGAGGAGATGCGACGTACTGAGAGCCGTACTGCTTGATGTATGTTGCGACCTGTTCGAGATCGAACTTGCTGATCTCATCGAGCAGAAGCTGAGCGCCTGAGCCTGTCGCTCCTTGGAGGTATATCGCGAGCTTGGATTGCCCAATGGATTCGAGTTGTGAAGCAAGTGTTGCAGCTGGTGGCATCCGGATCTCCTCCTCGCGGGCATGATCTTCTTCAAAGTGCGTGTTCGGCTGAGGTATCCTACTGCTCAGATTGTGGTGGGGCACTAGAGTGAGGTATGATTGATCCGATTTCGACCAAACCCAATCGGCCATTGATTGCACCGTCGATCCTTGCGGCAGACTTTGCGAATCTTGCGGATGACGCGCGTGCTTCGCTTCAAGCCGGGGCTGATCTGCTGCATGTGGACATTATGGACGGGCACTTTGTTCCCAACCTCTCGATGGGACCAGGGGTGTGCGAGTCGCTTCACAAAGCATTGCCGGATGCGTATCTGGATGTGCATCTGATGGTGACTGATCCGAAGTCGTATTTCAAACCGTTCGCGGACGCTGGGGCGAATCTGCTGAGTTTCCATATCGAGGTGTGTGAATCCGAGCAGCATGCACGCGACCTCTGTGGCGAAATCGAGGACTTGGGGGTGCACACTGGCATCGTGATCAATCCGCCTACGGATGTTGAGCGTTTACTGCCTGTCGTGGATGCGTTTGATCTTGTTCTGGTGATGAGTGTGAATCCTGGCTTTGGTGGTCAAGCATTCATTCCAGAAGTGCTCGACAAGGGGCGCCGTATTGCTCCGATGCTTCGAGGGGATCAGCGTCTGGAGATTGATGGGGGGATTGGACCTGATACTGCTGGTTTGGCAACTAGTGCTGGGTTTGATCTGTTGGTCGCTGGATCTGCGATCTATGGCAAGCCGAGGGATCAGTGGGCTCAGATCATCCGTACATTGCGTGGGGATCAGGAGCAGGCTTGAGAAGGGGAAACCCCCTCGTTTGCAAACGCTTACATGCAACGGAATCGTGGGAACACTCACGGACTCGATTGAATGTGGTCGATATGATCCCAGGCTCTTCAGACTGCAGATGAGTGGTTGAAGAGGAAGCGAAGGATTGATCTGTTGGCGAAATCTTCTCACTACACCATTCTCTTGATGAAAGCCGGGACGACCTCGTGGGATGAGGAGGGACGCCTCTGTGGGGTGACCGATCTTCCAACCACCGAAGACTCGTTGAATCAACTCAAGCAGTCAGTACAGACGAGCGAGCTTTCCAGATTCCGATCAGAGATCGACTTGATCCTTTGTGGACCTTCTGATGCGGCGATGGAGTGTGTGAAGCAACTCTCAGGCGCAAGCGGAGCGAAGGTCAAGGTTGTCGATGACTTTGCGGAACTCAATCTCGGTCTATGGGAAGGTGTACTGCGATCGGATCTGGAAGAGCGATTCCCGAGCGTGTATGCGCAGTGGGTGGCGCAGCCTGGGAATGTGGCGCCTCCTGATGGAGAATCCATGCAAGTCGTTCAGGATCGGGTGCTTACCGCATTGTTCAGGGTCTTGGGCAAGCTGAAAACCGAGCATCCAACTGTGGGGGTCGTGCTCCGTCCTTATGCGTGGGCAGTGGTCAAATGCTGGCTTGATCAGCGTCCACTCTCCCAGGTTTGGGAGTACTTGGAAGAACCATCTGGTCCCGAGTCCTTTTCCTTGTCACGAGCGGTGATTGAAGGGGATCGTGCGTGGAAGCCGAAAATTGCCTAAAATGACATACCAGACCCTTATGGTGTGATGTGGATGAAATCACAACCTTGGGTTTGCAAAGGATGATTCCATGAGTCAGATCGCAACTGAGCGTGTTCAAGCGACCAAGCCCAAAGCAAGGCGTGGGGTCCCGGAGGGACTTTGGCTGCGCTGCCCTTCGTGTTCGACGATGATTTATCGTCGGCAGATGGAAGCGAACATGCATGTGTGTCCTGAGTGCAGTCACCACTATCGAATTTCAGCGAAGCAACGCATCGAACAGTTAACCGATGCAGATACCTTCGTACCGATGTTCACTGAACTGCGTGCGGGAGATCCGCTGAACTTTGTAGATCTCAAGAAATATCCTGACCGAATCGCAGCAGAGCAGAAGAAGACTGGTCAAGACGAGGGGTGTCAAGCCGGGACATGCTTCATCAAAGGTCGTCCCGCGATGCTCGCGTGTTTGGATCTGACATTTATGATGGGATCGATGGGATCCGTCGTCGGTGAGAAACTGACTCGTGCGATCGAGCATGCGACTGCTGAGAAACTCCCTTTGATCATTGTTTCCTGCTCCGGCGGGGCGCGTATGCAGGAAGCTGGACTCAGTCTGATGCAGATGGCAAAGACCTCCGCGGCTCTTGCTCGTCACGATGATGCGGGCGGATTGTTCATCTCAGTCCTGACTGATCCAACGACCGGAGGCGTGACCGCTTCATTCGCGATGCTTGGAGATTTTCACATCGCTGAACCTCGCGCATTGATCGGATTCGCGGGTCCTCGCGTGATCCGACAGACGATCCGTCAGGATCTCCCTGAGGGATTCCAGCGTTCTGAGTTCCTGCAGGATCGAGGGATGGTGGATCGTGTAGTCCACCGTCACGATTTGCGTAGTGAACTGGCGCGACTGATTGACTACGCTGGGATGTGATTCGACTCCACTCTGATCTCATGGCGATGCTGCAATGGACCAAACGCTTCGGACGATTGCGGGCGTTATTGTGTGGTCTGCTCTTTGCACTGTGCGTGATTTTCTCGTTCCCGCAATTCACTGAGATGGGGATGTGGTGGTTAGCGCTGCTGACGCCGTTGCCTTTGATGCTGGTAGCCAATGAGCCGGTCATCCGTCCTAGCCGAGCGGCAGTGTTCGTTGGGATCGGGACGCTCCCGGCTTGGCTGTGGACGCACTGGTGGATGTGGGATGTGACGGTGATGGGGACGCCGTTTCTGATGCTGTATTTGATGGCGTATCCGGCGATCTTTGTGTGGGTGGGCAATCGAGTCGTCAAGCGGTTTGGTCACGCTTGGATTGTGCTTCCAGTGGTCTATGTCGCCGTGGACTATCTGCGGGCTCATGCGGCGTTCAGTGGGTATCCGTGGTATCTTGGTGTGCAGCCGCTGATTGAATCTCCCAGTCAGGTCCTCGCGGGTCCGGCAGCAATCGCTGGAAATGCTGGGATGTACTTGGTGGGGTTGTTCTCAGCGATCTTCATTTGGCAGATCATGAAAGCCGCGTGCGGCGAGCGGGTTGCTCGGCATTCATTGATCGCTGTGGGTGTGCTCGTTCTCTGGATTGGGTTGGGGGTGCTCGGATTGCGATGGGGGAACGAGGAAGCTGATCGGATCAATGTGGGGATTGTGCAACTCAATGTCCCTCAGGACAATCGGATGCAGTGGACGGATCGTCAGCGGTACTACGACTGGACAACGCTTCGTGATCTGACGATCGCGAGTTCGCGTGATGAGTTTGTGACGCCGGATGTGATTGTGTGGCCCGAGGGTTTTGTTCCTGGGTGGACCTTTGATCCGATTTCATTGCAGCATGAGCGTGACTTTGGATTGACTTGGAGCATGATCCCAAGGACGGTGGATGACGCGCCGGAGTTGTGGGGGATGCCTGATCGGATTCCGGCGACGAGCGTGGTCGACGAGTTGCTCGTCATGCAGAAGGTGATCGATATCCCGATGATCGTGGGATCGGTCGCGTTTGTGAATCTGCAGATCGTGCGAGACGACGAGGACTGGGTGCAGTACACCAACGACGGGATGTTCAACAGCGCGTTCTTGGTGGATGACGGAGAGATCAGCTCGACTTGGTACAACAAGATGCATCTGACGCCGTTCGGCGAGGTTATGCCAGTGATTTCCAAATGGGAATGGCTCGAGCAGAGCTTGCTGGGGTTGGGCGCGACGGGGATGGAGTTCATCTTGTCAGCGGGAGTCGAGCCTACGGTGCTTGAAGTTCCGCTGGATGGGAATCAGGTCTCAGTTGGAACACCGATCTGCTTTGAAGCCACGGTTCCAGGGGTGTGTCGGTCATTGGTGTTTGTTGGATCGGAACGTCGCGCTCGGTTGCTGGTGAACATAACCAATGACGGTTGGTTTGGGCAATCGGATGCTGCGAGACGGTCGCATATGCTGATCGCGCGATGGCGATGCATTGAACTGCAAACGCCAATGATCAGGAGCGCGAACACCGGCGTGTCGTGTGTGATTGGGCGCGATGGCGGGGTGATCGAAGATCAACTGAGCATGGTGGATCCCAACGACGAGCTTATTGGATATCTGAACGCTGGCGTCGAGCTGGGATCGGGTAAGGCCTTCCCAGGATCGGGAGTGTTTGGAGCTGCTTTCGGCTGGATTCTGCTCGGAATGAGCGGAGTAGGGCTGATTCTGACTTTTGTTCAAAAACGGAGCGAACAGTCAGCAGGGACCGATGAGTAGATACACAAACGAACTCACGCCGTGTATTGACACGCGAAAGGGATATTCGATGCGACGCGACTATTGCGGAATACAACTGATCGGGATGCTTGGGCTTGGTGGAGCGATGATGCTTTCAGGCTGCTCTGGAGGCGGAGGCGAGACAACTGCTCGTCAAGATCGTCCCATTGAGACGCGAGCGAGTCAGGGGACTCAAATGCCAGTGGCACGCACTGGGCGTTCGAATCGTGAGCTTCGATCTGCGGCGATCGAGACTCTGCTTGAGATGACATCGGATATCAGTCCTGAACTCCGCGCCAATGCACTCGAAGCGCTTCAAGGACAGTCCGCATCGCTTGAATCGGTCGCGGCACTTGGTTTGTCGGATCGGAATGAAGGCGTCCGTTCTGTCGCGGCGATGGTGGTGGGTCGGCAAAACCTCGGAGAGTTGAGTCCGATGCTTGAGGGTCTCGTGCATGACTCTTCGCCGTTTGTTCAAGCTTCGGCGCTCTTTGGGTTGGAGAAGATCGGTGCATCGGGTGTTGATCTGACACCTTTGTCCACAATGCTGCTGGACTCTGAGGACATCCGAGTGAGTTCACACGCAGCATTCATACTTGGAGAGCTTGGAAATCCATCCGCGATTCCGCTGCTGCAGCAAGCCGCAGGACGATCGTGGGGGCAGACGGCTCCGATCCAGCGTCAGATTTTCCGGCTCCAGGTCTCCGAAGCGATGATCAAACTGGGGGATCAGGACAGCTTGCATGTAGTGCGTGGCGCGTTGTACCCGGCGCGTCCAGAGGAGCTTGAAGCGACGGCACTCGCGGTTCAGATTATCGGTGAAGTCCGAGATCGGGGAGCGATCGACCAACTGATTTATCTGGTGGACGAGGATTCTGATCGTCCGATGCCTGCGGAGGTTCGTCTCGCGATCGCGGGATCGCTGGCGAAGCTGGGACTTCGAGAGGGTGGATTCATCGCCGACGAGTACGCACAGGATCTGAATCCGGTGATCCGAGCACAGGCCGCGACGGTGTACGGACGGACAGGTCGCGTCGAGCATTTCCCGAAACTCGAAGCGATGCTTGTGGATGAATCCCCTCAGGTTCGGACGGCTGCGGCGGGGGGAATTCTGGAGATTTTGGGGTCGTGATGGTGCGTCTGGAACCCGTGGGGATTGGTGCCGTACAGTGCTCTGCGCACCGTTGTGTGTGATTGAAGGGTCTTGTGCGGTGATCGCCCCCACAGGATCAAAAAAGGGGCTACACTAGCATTCCGATTGGGATGGACGCATGGGCGTCTCTCCTGCTGAAACGACACGAGCATCGAGGAGTCGAGCGTGCATATTCTCACCAAGGTCTTTGTCCTGTTCGCCGCTGTGATGAGCATCATGATGGCCGCACTGGCTATTTCTTTCTCCGTTAACGCGGACCGGATCCTCGCGGACTACGACGCGGCACTGGAGCGTGCGACTTCCGCTGAATCCAATCTGGCTGCACACAAGTCGACGGGCGCTCAAGAAAAAGCGACCCTCGAAGACGACAAGAATCGTCTACAAGACGAACTCGCATCACGCGACTCGAATATCCGTCGTCTCGAAGCGGCGAACTCGGAGCTCCGAATTGCACTACGTCAAGCAGAGTCCGAGCGTGTTTCGATCACTTCGAAGATCGCTCAACTCGGTGTGACCACTGAGACTCAGGCAAACATCATCTCCGAGTACAAGGATGAGTTGAGCCGACTCCGCAGCGCTGAGCTTGATTACCGCGACGAAAAAATCGATCTCGAGAAACAACTGGGCGACCTTGAGAGTCAGGTCATTGTGTACGAGCAGGTCAAGCGTGCTCTGCAAGAACAGCTCGAAGAAGTCCGCCGTCTTGTTGATACTGGTGGCTCGACCGCGACTGTTGCCTTTAACAGCAACGCAGCGACTGAGATTCCTGGCGCACCGATTAGTGGCCGGATCGATGAAGTTCGTTCGGACCCGAACACGGGTGATCTGCTTGTGAAGATCAACCTCGGCACCAATGATCGCATCTCGAACAACGCTCGCATGTATGTCCACCGCAACGGCGCGACCTACCTCGGCGAGCTCGTTGTGTTCCGTGTTGATCTGAACCACGCGGTCGCACGCGTTGCGTACACCGCTCCGGGTCAATCGATCCGCGAAGGTGATCAGGTCCTGAGCAAGCTGGGCAGCTGAACTGCTGATTAGAAGATCTTTCGAGGATTCCAAGGAGATTACGATGAGTCAGTTTGGTATGCAGATGCCCGGTGGGGGGCAGTCCAACAAGAGCACGCCTGATGTATTTACCGCGTTGATTTTTGTCGGCGTGGTTGCGATGGGCGTAGCGATCGGGATGCTGTGGGTCAATGGTGCGAAGCTCGCGCCGGATGGAATGCCTTTGAATGTTCAGGCTGAGGGTGATATCAGGATCGCAAAGTGACCCGGCAATTTCCGCATTGCATATGTGTGTTATCCGGGCTTGGATCAAAGAATTTGATGAGAATGGGCGGCATTGAATCCGATGTTTGCTTGACTCTTGGAGATTGCAGAATACGATGGACACTCAACTCACGGCAGATGTTTGAAGCCGGTGAATGTTGGGGCGGTAGCTCAATTGGTTAGAGCCCCGGACTGTCGATCCGGAGGTTGCGGGTTCGATTCCCGTCCGCCTCGTTTCTTGAAAGAGAGCCCCTTGCCTTTGCGAGGGGCTCTTTTCGTTTCTAGATTCTTGAGTTCTACAATCAGGTTGCGTCTATAAGCAGTTGACGCGGTCAGGACGAACTTCATTTGGCAAACCAAGTGCAAAGCGATATCAAAGAACACCGAAGGCTGGCCGCGATCGATGTCGGAACCAATAGCATCCGCTTGATTGTCGCGGAGCTCAAACCTGACGGCGGGTATCGGATCATCGACGACGAGAAGGATCGGACGCGGCTTGGCGCCGGGATGAGCTCAGATGGGATGATTACAGACGAAGCGCTCGAATCTTCTGCGAAAGCGGTTGAGCGGATGCACTCAATCGCGAAGGGGTATGGTGTGCAATCGGTGCGAGCGATCGCGACCAGTGCCGCGAGAGAAGCGAAGAACGGGCAGGTCTTGGTGGATTTGGTCAAGGAGCACGCGGGGCTCGAACTCCAGATCATCCAGGCTGAAGAAGAAGCGCGTCTGGCGCACAAGAGTGTCTGTCACGCATTCAATCTCGAGTCACAGCAAGCCGTGACGGTGGACATCGGGGGCGGGAGCACTGAGATTGTGCTCAGCGTGAACGGAGTGGTCGATCAGCTCTGTTTGCTGAGAATCGGAGCGGTCCGTCTTACAGAACTGACTCGTAAGCACGAGAACAATCCAGACTCTCAGTACGACGCGATGCGTGAGATCGTCCGGGACATGATCAAGTCCAAGCTTGGGAAGTCGGACTTTGTTCCATCGGTGATGTATGGATGCGGTGGGACCTTTACGAATCTGGCAACGATGGCGATGCACCGGACTACTCCACAAGCAGCAAACGATTTGCTCCCATTTACGGTGCGTGGGCATGATGTCCAGCGCGATGAGGTGAAGCATCTTCTCCACTGGTTACGCAAGCTCTCTCCGAAGCTTCGATCCAGTGTGCCTGGATTGAATCCGGATCGCTCGGATATCATCGTTGCGGGTTTGGTGATCATCGATGAGATCATGCGGCGATTGAAAATGAATCGATTGCGGGTTCATGATCGGGGTATCCGAGACGGCGTGCTGCTGACAATGATCGATGAACTCGGATTGTCTGCTGACGGAGATGGTGGGGGGCGGATCGATCGGATTGGATTCGCGGAGCGATTTGCGAAACAGTGCCGATTTGAGGAGCCTCACTGCCGGCATGTTGCGAAGATGGCGATGTCGATCTTCGACGACATGGCGAAGCACTATGGGGTTGATCACCCTGATTGGTCTGTTGTGCATCGTGAGTTGCTCTATGCGGCGGCTCTGCTGCATGATGCTGGGTACATTATCAACTACTCCAAGCATCACAAGCACAGTTATCACTTGATTGCTCACAGTGATATGCCTGGACTGACAACTCGTGAGCGAGAGATTGTTGCCAATGTGGCGCGTTATCATCGCCGAGCAACTCCCAAATCCAAGCATCCAAACTATATGAAACTTTCGGAAGTGGATCGGATGATCGTTCGCAGGCTTTCTGGCATTCTTCGTATTGCAGACAAGCTCGATCGCACACACACCCAGGCGGTGGATCGCGTCGAGCTAGAACTCATGGAGCAAAAAGGAGAATCTCGCTCAGTATTCTCCGTATATGCCGGGAAGGAACCGGTTGCAGAGATTTGGGGCGCAGCACGGCATTCAGCGCTGTTTGAAAGAGAGTTTGGATATGAGTGTGATTTCCGCTGGGTAGAGTCATGAATCTCAGTCGTCGCTCAACGAGTTGATCCAGGTGGATCGCTCTGCTCGCTGGCATAATGCATCGAATGTGCCGATCCGTGCGATTGAGTCTGGTTCGTCGTTGGGGTCCGGCTCCAAGCGAATATAGTGTCCATCTGAGCGGAGCTTGTACGCGTTCTTTCGATCAGCGAGATTCACTTCGATTACTTCAAGCATTCGTCGGCGTGCAAACTCGTCATAGACAGGCGTCACGACTTCCACGCGATTGTTGAGGTTTCGGCTCATCCAATCCGCGGATCCGATGTACCACTCTCCATCGACCGGGTCGTCTTGTCCGTTTGCAAAGTGGAAGAATCGGGAGTGTTCGAGGAAGCGTCCGATGTTCGCGTGGACAGTGATGTTCTCGCTCAACCCTTTGATGGATGGTCTGAGACAACAGAAACCGCGAACGATCATTGCGATTTCTACTCCTGCTTGTGATGCTTGGTAGAGTTTCTTGATGATCCCAATATCTTCGAGTTGATTCATCTTCGCGATAATACGAGCGGGTTTGCCTGCATTCGCGTTGTCTATTTCCCTATCGATCAGGGTGTAAAAACGGTCACGCATCGTGAACGGCGCGACGAGGAGGCTGTTGTAATCTGTATTGAGCGATCGGCCGGTCAGGTAGTTGAATACATTGACCACATCATCGGTGATTTCTGGATTGCAAGTCAGGAGACCAAAGTCTGTATAGAGCTGTGCGGTGTCTGGGTGGTAGTTCCCTGTCCCGAGGTGCGCATAGCTGCGCAGTCCGTCAGGCTCCTTTCGGACAACAAGCGAGCATTTGCTATGGGTTTTGAGCCCGACTACGCCGTATGCCACATGGACGCCGTGCCCTTCGAGTTGTCTCGCGAAGCGGACATTCTTGTCCTCGTCCATTCGTGCGCGGAGTTCGACGAGGCACGCGACCTGCTTGCCTTCTTCTGCTGCATGGATCAGGCTCTCAATGAATGGTGAGTCGCGTGAGGTACGGTAGAGTGTTTGCTTGATTGCGAGGACATTTGGATCGTTGGCTGCGGTCTCGATGAAGCGTTCCACAGAAGCGTCGAATGCTTCATAGGGGTGATGAAGCAGAATATCTCGTTCCCGGATCGCGGCAAAGATATCGAGTTCGTCATCCGCGAGTCTTGGTGGGACGACTCCGAGCCATGCTTTATCTTTCAGTGCTGGGCGATCGAGCTTGTAGAGTTCCATCAGGTCTTCGTATTCGAGCGGGCCTGGACGCGCGTAGACATCTTGTGGATCGAGTTCGAGTTCTTCAAGGAGGAGATCAAGGATCTGTTGTGAAGGATCTGGGACGGTCTCAATCCGGATCGGCTCGGCGAAGCGGCGGAGTCTGAGAGCTGTTTCGACATGCTCGAGCAGATCCTCCGCGTCTTCGCTGCCCTGCTGAACTTCAAGACTGCGTGTGACGCGGAACGGCAGCACATCAACGACCTCCATGCCAGCAAAGATCATTGGGAGGTTGTTCGTGATGATCTGGAACAGTGGAACAAAGCTGAGTGAGTCTGTGTCTGGGAATGATCCGATTGGGGCATCCTCGGAGACTGGGATCAACCGAGGAATCGCATCTGGAACTTTCAGTCTCGCGAAGAGGTTCTCGGTCTCGCCCGGCTTGGCGACAAGAACACCAAGATTCAAGGAGAGATTCGAGATGAAGGGGAATCGGTGTCCAGGATCGACTGCGAGTGGCGTGAGGATTGGAAAGACATTGACACGGAACCACTCATCGATCTTCGCACGCTGTTTCTTCTTCAGATCCGTGTAGTCGAGGATATTGATATCCTCGGCGGCGAGTGCCGGCTTGATCGAGGTTTCCCAGGCGTTGACCTGGATGTCTTGGAGTTCAGCGATCGTGACACGCGCAGCATTGAGTTGTTGGCGCACTGACATGCCGTCGTGGGATGGGGCATCAATCCCAGTTTCCTTGAGGCGTTTGAGCAATCCGATGCGTTTCATAAAGAACTCATCGAGGTTTGATGCTCCGATCGCGAGAAACTTGACCCGCTCGAGGAGCGGATTCGTCTCGGAGGTTGCTTCTCCAAGCACGCGTCGATTGAAGGCGAGCCAGGATATATCGCGTCCGATGTACAGGGCGGGATCATCAAGATCGATGTTTGTGAGTTTATCTTTGGGCATCTTGAACCTCGCCCTTGCCTTGTATTCGGAAAGATGTGGATGGGCCTATCCACAATCGACGAATTCTAGCAGAGGAGGTGGGGAGGATTGGCGGAATGTGCGTTAATGGTTCGGAAACTGTGTTTCAGGGGCGACGCAATGTTCGCACTTTGATACCATGTGCGGATGGAATCTGCTTCCTTGAACTTAACACTCGCCGCTGGTGGTGGTTCGTCTATTGGTGTAGCGCTCGCTGCGGTGCTGCTGTTAGGGATCGGTGCTCAGTGGGCTGCATGGCGGTTGAAGATTCCATCCATTCTGTTGCTTCTGATCTTCGGATTAATCGCAGGGCCAGTGATGCGGCAGATGGGCTCTTTGTCCTCCTTCTCGATCAATCCAGACGACATCTTCGGAGCAGATTTACTTCTTGCGCTTGTAGGAATCTCTGTTGGGATGATCCTGTATGAGGGGGGGTTGACTCTCAAACTGAGGGAGATCCGATCTTCTTGGCGCAGCGTCGCGATGTTGGTGACGGTGGGATCCTTTGTGACTTGGATGGTCGCTTTGTTGAGCGCCAAGTTCATACTTGGATTGAGTACTCCGATCGCGACGCTTTTGGGAGCTGTGTTGATTGTGACCGGGCCGACAGTGATCGGTCCATTGCTTTCTCATATCAGGCCATCTGGGGCGAGTGGGTTGATTCTCAAGTGGGAAGGGATCGTCATCGATCCGATCGGGGTCGGTGTTGCGGTGCTGGTCTTCGAGGCGTTGGTTGCACAAGAGGGAACATACAGCTTCGAGGTGACGGCTGAAGCGATCGCTCGAACGCTCGTGGCGGGAATCTTCTTGGGGACTGCTGCAGCGCTGCTGCTCAAGGAACTCTTGAATCGATTCCTGATCCCCGATTTCTTACAGAATCCAGTTTCATTGATGCTAGTTGTCGCGACCTTCACGGCATCCAACATGATCATGACCGAGTCGGGGTTGCTCGCGACGACAGTCATGGGGATCGTGCTGGTCAATCAACGCAAGGTCGATGTGCACCACATCCTGGAGTTCAAAGAGAACCTCCGAGTGCTGCTGATCTCCGTGCTGTTTATTGTCCTCGCGGCGAGATTACGGATTGAGGATTTGCAGCAACTCAACTGGTTCGAGGTGATTGGATTCCTGTTTGTGCTCATCGTGATTGCTCGACCGCTTGGTGTGTTCTTCTCAACGCTTGGCGCGGGGTTGAGCTGGCAAGAGCGTGTGTTCCTGTGCTTGATGGCACCACGAGGGATTGTCGCCGCGGCAGGGGCTTCGATCTTTGCACTCGGACTGGAGAAGGCGGGAGTCGAGGGGTACGAGACGATTGTGCCGCTGACATTCACTGTCATCATCGGCACAGTCGCATTTTATGGGATCACGGCGCCTTGGGCGGCTCGGGCACTTGGGGTCTCTGATCCGAATCCTCAGGGTATCGTCTTTGTTGGTGCGAGCAGTTGGGTTCGAGCACTTGCTGGAGTTCTCACGAAACACGGGATAGCTGTGTATTTGGTGGATACCAATCGTGCAAACATCCGACGAGCGGTGATGAGTGGGCTGCCTGCAACACATGCCAATATCCTGTCGATGAATGACATCACCGATCTCGATCTTCGAGGGATCGGACGCGTGTTTGCGGCGACTCCCAACGATGAGGTCAACACACTCGTGCTCCAAGCATTCAAGGGATATTTCGATACATCGAAGATGTACCGCCTCTCGAGAGTGACTTCAAAAGCGACCAAGGCTCCTGACTCGGGCCACTCAGATAGCGCAGGACGAGTCTTGTTTGGTGAGGAACTGGGGTACTCAGAACTTGAAGATCATCTGGAAGATGGATGGGTCATCAAGGCGACCAATATCTCTAGCGAGTTTACCTTCGAGGATTACCAGACTCTTTACGGGTCATCAGCGGTGGCGCTCTGCACACTGCGTGATGGCGTGATGAGTGTGAGCACGGTAGATGCACCGGCTGCACCGATCGCTGGGGACACAATCATCTCGTTGGTCAATCCAGATGAGTTGTTCATGCTCAGAGCGATGAACGAGGGGCTCTGAGGGTGTCCGGCTCAGTTGAGCACTGTGTCACGATGACCGAGTCCGAATGAGTTCTTGATGAAGTTGGACACTGTTTCAATTTTGATATTGGGGCTTGATTGTCCATTGTGATGCAGCATCAGCATCGTGTGGTCATCATCCGCGGTTTTGTATCCGCGCGATTGAATCTCAGTGAGCACAGAAGAGGCATTTTCTGAGGCATTTCCGAGCTCAGTATTGTTCAATGTTTCTGCCAATCCTGTGGTGCCGAGCAGCGAGCCGTTGTCGTGCTGAGCTTCCGAAAACGCATCTGTGTATGCGCAGATCCGATCGCCCTCATTGATTTTGACTGCGATCTGCTCGTATTGGGTCGATCTGATGACACCAAGGGGCAAGTTTTTGATCCCAACTTTGACTTGATTTGATGTCTCTCGGAGAACCCCAGGCGTGTGCTGGTTCAGTGGGATCCAATGGGCGCTGTCAGATCGGCGCATCAGAGGTGGTGGATGTCCGGCGTTGACGAGGATTAGGTGTCCTGATGGCGCGTAGTAGGTCATCAGCAACGCGGTCGCAAACTTTGATCCAGAGGAGATCTGGTCAAATGATTCGTTGAGGGTGCGGGCGAGCTTTGATTGGTCAACGGTATTGATCGACTTGTGCATCGCTTTGCGTAGTTGAGATGAAAGGTCGCTGACTGCACTGCCGTGTCCGGCAACATCGGCGAGGAGAATCCTTGAGATCCAACCAGAGGAACAGGAGGAGATCAGATAGATATCCCCTCCAGATTCGGAGCCCTCAACTGGGCGTGACGTGACACTGATGTCAAGTCCTGGGACAGATGCATTGTGATCGGCGCTGCTTGAGCCACCCCAGACTTCCAAGCACTTGAGCTGATAGGGATCCGGAGCAGACTGTTGATCTTGAGGGTGCATGTAGAGTGATCTGCAATGGGCGGTTGATTATTCCGTGGAGGTGGGTGGCTTTGCCCAGTGCATTTTGCGCACGAGTGTGTTCCAGTAACTCACATTTGGATCAACGACGAATGTCACAGGGGAAGGGTGTTTGTTGATGACAACATGGTCGTCGCATGAGATCCGAGGGCCGGGCTGGCCATCAATGAGGAGGCGAGTCCCATCGCCGTTGTCACTGTTCGTCTGCCGAGCGATAAGGCGGATCTTTGTGTCGTTTGAAAGCACGATGGGGCGGAAGCTCAGCGAGTGGGCTGCGTTCGGAGTGATGATCGTCGCGTTCACTCCCGGGGCGACAATTGGTCCACCGGAAGAGACATTGTAAGCTGTGGACCCTAGCGGTGTGGAAACGATGATGCCGTCGCCGGCAATGGTTGGGCCGGGGTTGTCATCAATGCAGATATCAATCTTGATGATTTTGTAGGGGGGGCCAGCAGTGATGACGAACTCGTTGAGGGCAACGAATGATTCGATGCTTTCGTCGTTTCTGATCAGTTCAGCGCTGATCGGCTGCACCAACCTCGTGTTCAATGGTGTGTTATCGTTGAGAATCGAAGCTGAGTTTTTCAGGAATGATTCGATCTCGTATCCAGCCATGAATCCGACTTTGCCTGTATTGAGTCCTAGGAGAGGGGTGTCGAGTTTGAGGCAATGATGTGCGGCTCTGAGGATTGTGCCGTCTCCTCCTAGAGCGATGACGAGATCGACTTCTGCTGCCTTTGGAAGATGTGGGGGATTGATCGCGTCTGTCGTGTCGACAATTATCGCATGGGAATCAATGGCGTCACGCACAACGTCAAGTGCCGCAAGGGCATCTTCCTTGAACTGATTGACCAGGATGAGAACGCGTCGTGGCATAGTTACGCGGTGGGCTCGGTGGTCTTGGGTGATTTAATCTCGGTCGTCGTTTGGTGGGAATCCGTGTTCTGATGCGGTATGAATGGATTGTTTCTCGCAGGATCCGCGGCATGACGGATCATCCGAGCAATTCCGTGAGCATCGAGCCCAACTTCAGCGAGTTGGTCGTCACGGGAGTCTTGGAGAATCCAGTGGTCTGGGATGCCGTGTCTGACGACTTTCGATGCATCGAGTTTGTATTCTTGGGCACATTCGATCACGCTTGTTCCGAATCCTCCGACGATTGAATGGTCTTCGAGCGTGAGGATCGGGATGGACCGGGTAAGCAGGTCGCGGATCAGCTGAGAATCGACTGGTTTAGCAAAGCGAGCGTCGTAATGAGCGATGTTGTATTCTGCTCCGAGTGATTCAATCGCTTCATTCGCGTTGATCGCAGGAGTTCCGAAGCTGAGGACAGCGACATCAGGTCGATTTGCATCAAGATCGCTGTGCAGAGGGGTTAGCAACCTTGCTTTTCCGAGCTTGAATGTTGGGGCATCTGCAAAGATCGTAGAGATTGAGTCGCGCGGATAGCGCACACTTGACAGTGAGCTGTCCCACGTACGCATGAACTCCAAGCATTGGATCAGGCTTGATTCGTCGATCGCGGCCATGAGTACTGCGTCTGGGAGTGTTCGGAGGATGGATACATCGCAGAAGCCGTGGTGGACGGCTCCGTCGCCTCCAACGAGTCCGGCGCGGTCTAGGCAGAGTCTGACAGCGAGTCCCTGGAGTGCGACTTCCTGGAACGCTTGGTCGAATGCTCGCTGGAGGAATGTGGAGTACACAGCAAAGAACGGACGGAGTCCTGTCTTTGACATTCCTGCGAGCATGTCGAGCGCATGTGACTCGCAGATTCCAGTATCGAATGTCCTGTCGGGATATTTCTCAAGTGGTTGTGTGATCCCTGTCCCGTCGGGCATCGCGGCTGTTGCTGCGACGACTCGCTCGTCACGATCCATCACATCGGTGATCGCGTCTGAGAAGGCGCTGGTGAACGAGCGTCCTGAAGAGGGCATGCGGACTTTGCAGCCGAGGGTTTCATCGCGTTCGACGGTGAATGCTTTGGGAGAGTGGAACTTGGTCGCATCTTGCTCCGCGATGTCGAGACCTTTGCCTTTGGTCGTCTTGACATGGAGGATCATCGGGCGGTCCAAGTCGCGCGCTTCAGCGAGGAACTCGATCAAGGTAGGGAGATCGTGACCATCAATCGGGCCGACTGTGAGCAATCCGAACTTCTCAAACCAGGAATCCTCGGTGATCGCGGCTTTGGTCATCTCTCCCATGCGGTGGTATGCCTCGCGGATGAGCGAGCCACCAGGCATTGAGTCAAGGAGGACCTTGGCGCCCTTCTTAAAGTCGGTGTAGGTGTGTGAGACGCGTACTCGGTCGAAGTACTGCGCCATCGCGCCTTGGGGCTTGGAGATACTCATTCCATTGTCGTTCAGGACAATGAGCATCTGTCGCTTGAGCATCCCCGCGTTGTTGAGTCCTTCCATCGCAACGCCGTTGACTATGGAGGCGTCTCCGATCAGTGAGACGACTCGGCGGCCCTCAGGATTGGTCTCGGGGTGATAGGACTCTTTGTTGATCTGATCGCCGCGCGCCATGCCAACTGCAGTGGAGATCCCTGTCCCGGCGTGTCCGACGCGGAAGAGGTCGTAGCTGGACTCAGAAGGCTCGGGGAATCCGGACATGCCTTTACGGGTGCGGAGGTCGGCAAGCTTGTCCTGTCTGCCGGTCAGTAGCTTGTGGGGGTAGCATTGATGTCCGACATCAAAGAGCAAGCGATCGTGTCCAAAGTCAAAGACGCGGTGCATCGCGATGGTGAGTTCGACGACACCGAGATTAGGAGCGAGGTGACCTCCAGATCGAGAGACCTGCTGGATGATCGCTTGACGGATCTCAGCGGCGAGATCCTCGAGCTGTGCGATGGAAAGCTCTCGGAGCTGCTTCGGCGATTTGATGGATTCAAGTAGGGTCATCGAGCGGGTAGTTCCTCAGGCCGGACATTCCCAGAAGTATAGTGGCTTTCCGTGCTGTATGCAGTGCTTACGAGTCGAATTGAGGGGTGTTCGTTGGATTCCAGAATAGCGTGATCTCAATGCGATCGATTGGTCATTTTGTCCAATAGTTGACGCAATCCTGCGCTGTTTGGTCCGAGCTGGTGGAGCTTGGATAGGGCATTCTTCTGGAGTGTTCCGATAATTGCTTTCGACTCATCGATCCCGAATGATGCGGGATATGTGAGTTTGTTTGCTTTCTCGTCCTTACCCAGTGTTTTGCCAACGAGTGATGGATCGCCTTGGACATCGAGGAGGTCGTCGATGATCTGGAACTGGAGACCGAGGTCCCATGCGAAACCGGAGATCAGGTCCAGCGCGCTTTGGTCGGCGCCTGCGGCAACAGCGCCCATTGTGCAAGACGCATGGATCAGGGCGCCGGTCTTGTTCATGTGGATGAGTTCGGTCCGTTCACGATCGGTGAGTGACTCTTTGAATCCACCCAGGGTGTCGTACACCTGACCCACGATCATCGAGCGGGTGCCTTGTGACAGCATCGCGATGAGTCGAGCGTGCGTATCAGCGCTTGGGTTTGGTTCCACGCTTGCAAGAGCTTCGAATGCAAGCGAGAGCATCGCGTCTCCGGCAAGGATCGCCGCGGCTTCTCCGGCATGTTTATGTAGAGTGGGGCGTCCCCTACGCAGGTCATCGTCATCAAGTGCAGGTAAGTCATCGTGCACAAGACTGAAGGCGTGGATGAGCTCTACAGCGACACAAACAGGGAGAGCTTGGGAGCCTTCGCCTCCAGCGGCAACCGCGCTGGACCACGCAAGCAGTGGTCGGATTCGCTTTCCAGGCGCGAAGAGCGCATAACGGATGGGGGCATCGAGTTTCGTGGGTAACTCGAGAGAATCCACGAAGCGTGACATCGCGTGCTCTGTTTGGCCGCGGATGAAATCAAGATCGAGCTGAGAAGTCTTGGTGTTGGACATCTGGGTTATCGTAGCGCTTTGTGAGTCATGATCGGGCTACAGTAGGGGCGTGATTGAGCGAGCGATCCAGTTCTTTGCTGCGGGTGGTTGGGTGATGTACCCGCTGCTGTTGATGAGTGTGGTCGGACTCGGGATCGTCATCGAGCGGGCGATGTACTGGACGAGGAACTCCACGCGTAGGGAACTACGGCAGTTCCGTAAATACGCTGATCTTGTCGACGCTGGAGAGCGGGAGACACTTGCGGCTGTATCTTCTAACGATCCGACTGCAATTGGTAAGCTCGCGTATTGGTCCTCTTCGCGGAAGAACGTGTCGGAAGATGCCGTGCTCGCGACGATCGAAATGATCCGTCCAAGCATGGAAGCTAGAAACTGGATACTCAGCGTCATAGTCGGTGCCGCGCCGTTGCTTGGTATCCTGGGCACAGTGGTGGGGATCATTGAGAGCTTTGATCTGCTCGGACAAGCCGCGGGAGTTTCTGATCCAACGATTGTTGCGGGAGGGATCGCTGAGGCGCTCTACACCACAGCGTCTGGTCTGACCATCGCATTGCTCGCACTTTTCCCGGCGGCGTATTTCAAAGCTCGCGCGAACACTTCTTTGAGTCGGCTTGAGTCTCTCGGTGCGATGATCGCAAATCGAGCAGAAGAGTAATCAGCTGCCCTGAGAGACGAGCATCTCGTAGATTTTTTCAGCATCCTCGGCTTGATAGATCTCTTGACGGAATGTTGGGTTGTTCATGATCCGTGAGACTTGCGCGAGCGCTTCGATATGTTCCTTAGTGCTCGATGTGGGGCTCGCGAGCAGGACAATCAACTCGACAGGTTGAGAATCCATCGACTCAAAGTCCATTGGTGTAGAGGGGCGACCTATTGCGAGAGTGGGGGTGGAGATGCAGTCACACTTTCCGTGAGGGATGGCGAGGCCGTGGCCGATTCCAGTGGTTCTGGTTTGTTCTCGCGACCATACGGCATCTTTGAGTGCTTCGGGCTCTTTTACTTTGTCGTGTTCAGCGAGGAGATCAACGAGCTCGTTGATCGCGTCTTGCTTGTCCTGAGACTCAAGCGGCGAGCGGATGCATTCAACGCTGAGGATGTCTGAAAGATTCATCGATTCCTTCCATCGATCGAGCTACCGCATTCTGCGTTCGCTCAGGGGCTCATGGATTCTATAGCCGAGCAGTTCCTGTGCGTCTTGGGTCAGGCATCATTTTCTCATGAAGCAGGCATAGGTCGCATCTCGATACCCAGAAGGGGATTCCCCTGGCTGTCCGTTCGGTAGAACTTGATGCTCAGCAAGTAGTTCCAAAGCGAGATTTTTGGTGATCCAGTCTCTCTGATCTTGGTTCTCCTCGACTTCAATGCTGCAGGTTGAGTATGCGAGCGTCCCTGATTGTTTGAGAACTGGGGCGATCTGCGTCAGGATTTCCCGCTGGATATCGCTAATTCGATTGACCTGCGCTGTCATCGGTCGGTACCGGGCTTCCATCCGCCGAGCGAGGACTCCTGAGTTCGAGCATGGCACATCGGTAAGTATGAGATCGACTCCTTCGTTCGCGATCGTTTGGAGTTCACTGGTGTGATGCACGCTGACATTGGGGTGGTCTTTGAAGACATCGGAGAGCACAGAGAGTCGATGCGGATCGATTTCCATCGCGAAGATCTTTGCATCAGGGAATCGTTCGCAGAGTTGTCTGGTTTTAGTGCCCTGGCCTGCGCAGAAATCGATGATGGACTGATACTTACCTTCAGGGATCGACTGAACCACGCTGGAGCTTGCTGGATCTTGCACTCGGAGATATGGGTACTCTTCGAGCAACTGCACAAGGTGTGTTCTGGATCCTGTGTAGACGCGATGGGAACCAGATTCGTGAGATTCGAGCTCATCCAGTGGTTCGATTGCACCCCAGTCGTCACAGTAGAGCAGGGTTGGTGGACGAGTGATGGTGTGTGCGATCAGTTGATCCGCTTGCTGAGGGAAGAGCTTCTCCCATCGCTTGATTGTCGCTTTGGGGATCGAGTATGCGGTTGACCTCAGGGCAACTGGATCCTCTGGGAGTTGCACATTGTTGAGCAATTGGGCGCCGCCGTCCGACAGTGGAATGGCATTTCGATTGAACCCATAGTGCTCAATCTGCTCGCCTCGCGATCGAGCGACTTTGCGAAGGATCGCGTTGGTCATCCCTCCTGCTTTGGGTCGGATGTAGTGCTTCGCCCATTCAACGGATTCGTTGATAACTGCGTGGGGTGGGAGTCGATCAAGGAGCAGAAGTTGGGCTGCGCCTCCGATCAATACGGCTTGCATTCTGGGTTCGATGGTCTCGAATCCTCGGCCTGCAAGCTCAGAAACGATGTGTCGAAGTGTGATCCAGCGCACGACACCTTCACGGATGATCGCATGGGAGAGAGCTCGATCTCGTGGTTCGAGATGGGCAATGTTAGGTTCGATTGGTTGAAGATCAGGAAACGCGTGCGCGTGTGCACTCAGGATGCGATACGCCGCATCTCGTGCATCGCGAGGTGGAGGGTAGGTTTGGGAGGATTCCTGATTATTCGACATCGGTTGAGAGTAGGCTTGGGAGCTACTTGATGCGCCAGATGGGATACAGTGTGGGGTGAGTTTCGAGCATTCCAACGAAGATATCAGTACTGAGCGGCGCAGTAAGCGTGTTCGTGCTCGAGGAGTGTTTGCGGGTCTCAAGATCCGAAAGAAGCTCATTGTCCTGCATACTTCATTCTCCTTGGTTCTCGGGATTCTGCTGCTCGTTGCGTTGAGTCCGGCGATGGGAAAGATGGTGGACGGTGCCGAGCAGGACCTCGCGGAGCGTATATTCCACGCGGGACTCAATGGTGACGGAACAGTGTTTGGGGACACAGAAGATCGCTACCAGATCAAGGCTGTTGATCCCGATGCGTTGGGAGTTCCAGAATCGGAACTCGAAGAGCTCCGCTCAACGCGTGGTTCGGTCGTGCTCAGAGCGGGTGGGCAGTTCGGTGGCGGGGTCGTCGGATTTGACCCCAGGCTTGGACAGTTCGTCGAGGTCCGCGCCAGATCGATACGAGCGCGGCAGATGGTGCGGATGATCTATGGATTGCTGATCGTGACCCTGCTCGCGGGGTATGCACTGGTAGCAGTTGCTCTAGAACTCTTTGTGCTCCCACAGCATGTCTATCAACCGATTCGCGCCATGCTCGATGCGGACGACGCGGCACGATCCTCCGACTCAGATCGAGAGATCATCCCGAGCAGGTTCATTCCGGCTGATGAACTCGGCGAGATCATGCATTCACGAAACGAGACAGTGAGGGCGCTGCGAGAGCATGAGCAAGAGTTGGAGTCCACGCTCGCTCGACTGGAAACGGTTGCGATCGATCTGCACACCAAGAATCGTCTGCTTGAGACGGCACGAAAGAATCTGGAGGGCGCCGATCGACTCGCAACAATGGGCATGATGTCGGCGGGGATCGCACACGAACTCAACACTCCGCTCGCGGTCGTCAAGGGGTTGGTGAGTAAGCTCGACAATGGTGAGCTGCTCAGTGAGCCTGAGATTGCTTTGTTGTCCAGGGTTGTGGGTCGTATCGAGAAGTTGTCAGAGGGATTGCTGGATTTCGCGAGAGTCCGGACGCCGAGTTTGAGATCTACGCATATCCGCAATGTGATTGAGGACGCGTGGACTCTGATCAAACTCGATCGTCAGAGTGTGCTCCCTGGACAACGGCTGGACTTTGACAATCAAGTTGATGGCGAGATGGTTGTGGCGTGTGACCCAGATCGCATGGTGCAGGTCTTTTTGAATCTGATACGCAATGCGGTCCATGCATTGAGAGATCTCAAGGATCATGAAGGGGCCATCCGTGTTTCTGCATTGCAAGAATCTCGATCTGATGGAGATTGGCTAGTGATCTCAGTCCAGGACAATGGGAGTGGGATTGATCCATCAATGATCGATACCTTGTTCGAGCCTTTCGTTTCATCGAGAATGGATGCGAACGGCACTGGTCTGGGGCTCGCCGTCGCTGAAGGGATTGTCCGTGAGCACGGCGGGATGGTGGTTCCATCAAATGTGCGTTCGAATGAGAATGAGGGATCTTCGGCCATGGGTGGGGGGGCGAAGTTCGATGTGCATCTTCCGATGACCAAATCAGATTAATCTGCAGTTTGTATTGTCTGGCAGGACAATAAGCGGATATACTGGTCTGGAATGGAAGGGCGTTTATGAGCGATATTGTGCCATTGACGGTGTACGCGTTGGACGACGACGCTGACTTTCGCGAGTACTTGCAGGGGTTGCTCTCTGGAGATGGTCATTCCGTACGGATGATGTCTGAGCCGAGTGATCTCTTTGATGCGTGTGAGCAGCATCTTCCTGATGTGATCTTGCTTGATGTGAAGATGGGTGAGCATTCAGGGACTGAAGTCCTTGAAGAAATCCGAGAGCGCTGGCCTCGCCAGTGCGTGATCATGGTGACTGGGTATCCCTCGCTGGATTCGATGCGTGAGACTTTCCGTAAGGATGTGTTTGACTACATCCCGAAGCCATTTCAAGTGGATGACCTTCGGAAGTCGCTTGCTCAAGCCGTCAACGAACTGGGTTTGGGTCAGCGTCCGTTGGATCGATTGCGTGCGACGCTCGGTCGGCAGATCCGCTTGGCGCGAACAGAACGCGGGTGGACTTTGCGGAATCTTTCAGAGATTTCTGGGGTTTCGGTCAGTCAGCTCAGTTCGATCGAGCGTGGGACTCATTTGCCGAGTGTTGAATCACTCACGAGTGTTGCCGAGGCGCTCGGAGTGGCGCCAAGCACTTGGTTCGCAGCTGCGGGATTCTGAATCCCTATCCAGTTGCATTGTTTGCCATAGCTCAACGCATCGGTGCTATTGTTGCGTGTGCAGCGATCCACAAGCAATCCAATGATCTTGTTCACTGGGTTCGAACCCAGCGGCGATGACCATGCGTCCATTGTGATCCGCGAGTTGAAGTCGCGTTATCCAGATCTGAGGATCTGCGCATGGGGTGGTCCGAAGATGGAAGCCGCGGGTGCGGAGATCATCGAGCGTACGGGCGATGCCGCGGTCATGGGGATGCCGGGGCTGCAAAAAATCCGTGAACACAAACAGATCAACGAGCGGATCGAAGCTTGGGTCAAGGAAAACCCAGTCGATGTGCATGTGCCGGTCGATTCTCCGGCGGCAAACTTCCCCGTCTGCGCGATCATGAAGGCACAAGGCGGCAAGGTAGTACACATGGTCGCGCCACAGCTTTGGGCGTGGGCACCGTGGCGCATCCGCAAGCTCAGAAGACTGACCGATCATGTGATGTGTGTGCTCCCATTTGAGGAGCAATGGTTCGGGAGTCGTGGTGTGCAAGCGACATTCATCGGCCATCCGTTGTTTGAGAAACCGATCGACGAGGGAGCGTTGGACAAAGAGACCGAGTCTTGGAAGCAGGGTGAGAAGCGGATCGCGATCCTGCCAGGCTCTCGCCCGTCTGAGATCAAGAAGAACTTCCCGCTGCTGATCGGCGCGTACACAAAACTCAAAGCAGAGCACAAAGACATGTGCGGCATGGTCGCGGTTACGCGTCCTGAAATCGAACCGATTGTTCGGCAGATCGCGAAGGATCATGAGATCGATTGGCCGGATTCACTTGGGATTACGCACGCGAACACGGATGCTGTGGTGCGGTGGTGTACGCTCGCGATGGTGGTCTCTGGAACGGTGACGCTCCAGATCGCTCGTCAGCATCGTCCGATGGTGATTGTGTATAAGCTCGGACGGATCGGATGGTCCTTGCTGGCGCGTTGGTTGATCCAGACGCCTTTCATCACACTCCCCAATATCCTTGCGGGGCGCGAAGTCGTGCCTGAGTTGGTTCCGCACTTTGTTGGCGCCGAACCAATCGCGGAGCGTGTGACCGAACTCTTGGAAGATCGCAACAAATATGACGAGCAAGTGCGTGAGCTGACGAAGATTACGGATATGTTTGCGAGCAAGAATGCTGCACTCGGAGCCGCGGACATCATTGCTCAGTACGCGGGATTGGATCCGGTTGAATCAGGATCAGATCGAGATGGGGAACATACCGATTCCGAGGCACGCGTTACCCGCTCGATCAGTGATTGAGATCGTTTCTACAAGCGGTGAACGCAGCGGGACATCTTGCTCAATGCAGAGCTTCGCCGCGGCGTGCAAGTCCTGTCTGGCAACTTCTTCGGTCTCAGTAAAGAGCACTGTGAGTGCCGCGGCGTTCCAGATGTGTGGATCAGCTGAGAGTTTGCAGAGATCGGTCTGCAGTCCATTGACGAGCTCGTGAGCATAGCGTCCATTCGGAGCCGGGACTCCGTCTCGATAGGCGTACTGGGCACACGCTTTGATCTCGATCCAGAGCGCATCCTCAGGTTGACAAGTCGTGGTGGGGTCCGGTTGAAGTGCAGGGTTGTTCGCAAACAGTGTGTCCTGTGCCGCAGCGAGCAGTTGAAGCTCAGAAACAGGATCGGAGAGTGAAAGGTCCGGATTTGGTGTTAGCACAAGATCGCATCGGTCTCGATGCGTGCGTGAGGTGTACGCGTCGCCGTCTGAGGGATAGTGAACTTCCCTGTAGACACCGACTGGTTCTGATGTAAGTGCATCTGCAATCAGTGCATGGAGTTGGAGTTCGCTGAACGCGTCAAGTCCTCGCACAGCGTGTTCTTGGTCGAGAAGCTCGGCGTGATGGGCGAATGCGTTTGATGCGTAGCTCAGGATTTCACCAATCTCGATGGGCATGTCAAAGCGTACTCGAGTGGGGGGCGGCTTGCAATTATGACGCGGATGTGCAAGTATGGGTCGATAAAGGGATTTGTACCCAAGTCAACTTCTAGAACCATTCCGGGGGCCGTATGGCACTGAACGACATTATTAACTCCATCAATGGAGTCCTCTTTTCTGAGTACACCGTGTATGCGCTGCTGCTCACTGGTCTTGTGTTTACCGCGTGGTCATTCATCGGTCAATACCGGGCACTCACGCACGGCGTAGCGGTCGTGCGTGGCAAATACGACGACAAGGATGATCCGGGGGCGATCAACCACTTCCAGGCATTGTCGGCGGCATTGTCGGCGACTGTTGGTCTCGGAAATATCGCGGGCGTCGCGGTCGCGGTCGCGCTCGGTGGTCCTGGAGCGATTTTTTGGATGTGGATCATCGGCATCCTGGGCATGGCAATCAAGATGACGGAAGTCACACAGTCCATGCTGTACCGGAATACGGACGATCCAGAGAATCCGCACGGCGGTCCAATGTTTGTCGTCAAGAAAGGATTCGCTGAGTGGGGACTCGCTCCGATCGGAACACTCATTGGTGGCATCTTTGTCATTACGCTGATCATCTCGGCGATCACCGGTGGGAACATGTTCCAAGCGTGGAATGTAGCGGACATCACCTTTACCTACTTCGGGATTCCCCAAGTAGTAACGGGTGTTGTGCTGACACTGGTTGTTGGGCTAGTTATCATCGGCGGGATCAAGCGTATCGGCGCTGTCGCGGGTCGCATTGTGCCGGTCATGTGTGCGTTGTATGTGATTGCTGCGTTGGTAGTGCTCTTCGCGAATATCGCGGATGTGCCTGGGATGCTTGGGTTGATCGTCAAGAGCGGTCTCCCGAGCTTCATGGGTGGTGCGGACGCTGATGCGACTGGTGCGTTCTTGGGGGGGACCTTTGGGTACGCCGCGATGTGGGGTGTGAAGCGTGCGTTGTTCTCCTCAGAAGCGGGTCAGGGATCTTCGCCGATCGCTCACTCTGCGGCGAAGACCGATGAACCAGTCCGCGAGGGTGTGGTCGCGGGTCTTGAGCCGTTTATTGACACGATTGTGGTCTGTACGCTGACAGCGCTTGTGATCCTCTCGACCGGCGCGTACAACCGCGGTTCGGAAGCGGATTTTGTGAACGCGAGCGATGTGCGGATTGTGCAAGCTGTGGATTCGGAATCTGGTGAGGTACTGGAGAATACCTGGACGCTCGAGACTGGGGCGCTCCCACGGATGTCATCCGAGTCACGCAAGATCCGCCAGACCCCTGAGAACGGATCGGGTTGGCGTGAGGGCGAGATTGTGTTCTTCATCGTTGCGGCTGATGAAGATCCGAACACAGGTCGAGATCTACGCAAGATCACTGGATCGGTGAGTCAAGACGAAAACGACCTCTGGCAGGTGTCATGGAACACATTGGAATCCGAGATGGTACCACATTTCCGTGAACATACAGATGGAACTGTTGATCTCGGTGTCTACGGCGATTATGCGGGTGCTTCGATGACGGCGTATGCGTTCGATCGTCAGTTCCCTGGTCTTGGGAAGTGGCTGGTCTCGATCGCGGCGTGGTTGTTCGCGATCTCGACGATGATCTCGTGGTCGTACTACGGCGAGCAGGGGATCTACTACTTCACGGGTGTGTTGGGCTCGTTCGGGAAGTCCATAGAGAGCTCAGCGGTGTTTATTTACAAGATTATCTATGCTGGATTGATCTTGTTGACGACTGTTCTTGCGATGCCGTTGTTCGGGCCGGACAAGAAGGCGTTCATCGCGACCGATCATGAGCTTGATATGTGGACGACGCTTGGTCTGGGTGTGATGCTCGTGGCCAATATCCCGATCATGTGGATCTTCGGTGCTAAGGCGATGAAGGCGTACCACGAGTACATCGGTCGACTCAAACGAGGCGAACTGGACTCGCACGCAGCTCCGAAGATCACGGATGTGGTTGAGGGGCACGATGTGGAGTAATCTTTAGACGGCGTTCATCGCGATCGCGATGGTGAGCGACCAGATGCCTAGTACGATCCAGACCCGGATATCAATCCGGGTCTTTTTCTCTTGTGAATCATTGAGCGAGATATGAGAGAGCTGGCGGAGATCCCCGCGTTGGACTAACTCGATGATTCGGCGTGTGTTGATTGGGGATACGCCGAGCGTTCGTCCGATGTGAATCAGTTCGGAAGTGTCGCGGGGGATCAACCCTGAGGATCGGCATGCGTTTCGGGTTTGGGTCATCATCGCGATGAGCATGCGAGGGTCAGTCGATTGGAGTCCGGTGATCGCGGGATCAATGTCCGAGAACTGGGATTCGATGATGTGTGTCGACAACACACGGCCGTCCGTGTTGATCAGACGCAACGAGGGAGTGCTCTGAGGTCCGCTCTGGGGATCTGGGGTCTGCACAACTTCCTTGCTGCACACACTGTGCCAGCTTGGATTCTGACCTTATGCTCCAGCACAGTTTGACCGATGTATGTGATGATTTCCGCTGGAGCATGAATTGACGAACGATCAAGAGACCCTGCCTGTCATTGAAACCACGCTCGATCCGAGTGGGGTGGTTGGTGCGCTCAAGACTATGTCCAAGCGAGGCAAACTCGCGGGATTCCAGGTGGGGAGTGAAACGGGTTCCGCTATTGTGGATGCACATGGAACGCCGTTTGATTCAGATTTAATTGTACAGAGTGAATCGGATGGTGATCAGACTCGAGTCATCTTTCAGTTGGTCATGCGTCGCAAGATGCCGATCGTGTTTGCGATGATTCTGGTAGTCACGATCTGGCCTGGATTACCGCTCACCGAATCGTTCATGCTCAGTTTCGGTTGGTACGAACGGCTGTTGGGCGATTCGATTCAGACCTGGATGTGGTACTTGCCGCTGACAGTGCTTCCGGCTCCATTCGCGTGGAGAACCGCGATTCTGAAGTCGAAAAAATCAGCACATCAGCACGCACTGGAAACCATCGAGCGGATCCGATCGGTGCTCAGTTCATGACTTTCGCAGCCATTCCTCTTCGAGTTCATCAAGCTCCGAGCGCACGCTATCCCGTTTCGCGGTGACCTCGTTGGCGTGCTCGATGTCTTTCCAGATGTCTGCGTCGTTGAGCTGGGCATCGAGTGTGTTGAGTTCAATCTCCAGATCTGTCATCCGCTCCTCGATCTGATTGATCGGCATCCATGAAAAGCGGGATTTGGTCGCTGAAGTTTCCGGCTTCGATTGTTGCGTTGGTTTTTCAGATGTTTGCTTCGTTTGATCCGGAGTTGTAGACCTTGATTTGGATTCTTGCTGGTGCTGATCGTGCCACTCGGTGTAGGTGCCTGCGAAGATCTCGGCGTTCCCATGCCCGTCAAGGATAATGAGATGATCGCAGACAGCATCGATCAATGCTCGATCGTGCGAGATGAGGATCGCGGTCCCCTCATACGCGCCGCTGGTGGTCTTCCCGGTTTTGGGGTCGTGATGCGTGCGTGCAAAGGTCTCTTCGAGACGCTCCGCGGAGGGGATATCGAGGTGGTTGGTGGGTTCGTCGAGGACGAGCAGGTTTTTGGCGCTCGCGAGCAGTCCGGCCAGGACAGCGCGGGCCTTCTCGCCGCCAGACATGGACTGGAGTTCGCGTTGTTGGTCATCGCCTGAGAAGAGGAAAGCACCCGCGATGGTCCTCGCTTCGAGCTCCGACAGCGTCACGCGTTCTTCCGTGTTCTTCTTGACTGTGTCCTGGATATGTCGGAAGACTGTCTTTGACATGTCCACATTGTCGTGGGTTTGTGTGAAGTGACCGATGTCCAGATTTGTGCCGAGCTTCACGGTGCCTTGATCTGTATCTTGTTCACCGAGTATGCATCGAATAAGTGTTGACTTTCCCGCGCCGTTAGGTCCGATGACTCCCCAACGTTGTCCTCGTTCGATGCGGATGTCGAGATCGTTAAAGAGGACTTTGTCAGTGCCATCATCGTTTGGATACTTCTTAGAGAGTGATCGTGCGGCGACGACAATGTCTCCAGCTCGTTGTGCTTTGGGAAGCGACAGTCGGAGACTCGCGAGTTCGAGTGGGCGTTCGATGGTCTGTGCTTTCGCGCGATTCAGACGAGACTCACGGCCCCGAGCTTGCTTGGCGCGTTGTCCAGCCTTGAAGTGCGCGATGAACGCTTCTTCTCGTTTGAACTCCGCTTGTTGTTTTTCATACGCTCGTAGCTGGACCGTCCGGCGCTCGGCACGCTGCTTGCGGAACGCGGCGTAGTTCCCTGGGTATTCAATCAAACGAGCATGCTCGACCTCGATAATCCGATTGACGACGCGATCGAGCATGTATCGATCGTGACTGATGAGAACAACCGCACCTTTGAACTCTTCGCGCAGGAACACTTCCAGCCATTCTCGGCCTTGGATATCGAGGTGGTTTGTGGGCTCGTCGAGCAGTAACACGGATGGATCTTGGAGCAGGAGTTTGCCCAATGCAACGCGTGCTTTTTGACCACCTGAGAGATCGGGTACTTTGATCTCGAACTGCGCGTCCGTGAATCCCAATCCATGCAGAATTTGATCAACTTTGTGGTCATTGACGAGGCCGCCGCTGGCTTCGATCTCATGCTCGATGCGTGCTTGTTCTTTGAGGAGTCGACCGAGGTCATCTTGGTTGGCGTTGCCCATTTCCTCAAAGATTTGCTCAAGACGAGCGTTGAGTTCTTTGATGTGGTCGAACGCGCTCGCAACAGCTTCCTTGAGCGTGTGATGTGGGTTGAGGTCTGGATTCTGGTGGAGGTATCCGATGGTTGCTTTGCCACTGGATACCGATCCGTCAGTCGGCGGAAGGACCCCTGCGAGGATTTTGATGAGTGTGGATTTTCCGCACCCATTGCGTCCAACGATACCGATTCGTTCGCTCTGTTCGATCGACAGCGATACCCCATCGAGGATGAGGTCGTCTCCGTACTGGAGGGTCAGGTTGGTACCACTCAGGATGGGCATGGGAGAGGAGTGTACGCGTTAGTCGACGCCGAAGAATCTTCGGTGATGCGAGAGGATCTCGTGGGCTATTTCTTGATCAGGTGTGTCATTCCACACATGTTCGTCGAAGCATCCGCCGAGGATGAGTGCATCCTCACGAGGGAACATGTATTTGTATCCGTCGTGGATGATGTACCCAAGATCCTGCGGCTTCATATGCACCAGTACCCCGCGTGCTGGATACATCGCGGTGTCGTTGAAGATTGTGCGAGACCCAAGCGCCATGCAGTTGACGATGATTTGTTCTTCGAGTTGCTCGATGTCCTTAGGCGTGTTCAGTGTGTGTGATTGCAGGTCGACACCAGATGATTGAAGATCATCGATAAGCGCGTTGAGGAATTTCGGAGTGTGGATAAACATGGACTCAAAAGTGCGTCCGCTTCGAGGGGGGCCCGGGAGGGGGAGTTTGTCGATGTGCACTGGGGGGGCGATGGTGCCGTTTGAAAAGAGGAAGTCAGGATCGTGCGCGTATTCAGGTTCGAACACCGGGAGTGATTCAGTCCCGTATCGTGTGGGGTCGAGTTTGTCGAGGGATTGCTTGGACTGAGTGAGTATCTGGAGGAATCGCTCTTGTCCAATATCTGGATGGTCGTACTCGATCCCGACAGGGAGGAAGAGGGCTCCTGCGAGGACGCTCAGTGTATTGATCCCGGCTTGCTTTGCGTATACACAGACCTCGTATCCACGCGATGCGAGCTCTCGCGCTGTAGTCAGTCCGACCACTCCAGCGCCAAGCACAGCGATTTGATTCTTGCGATTCGTCGATTTTTCAACCAGATCGGCGGACGCGTGTGCTGTTCCCATAGACAAGGTAATCCCGCACCCGCCGTGTCCATAGTTGTGGATGATGTGCTTGGATCCGAGTTCTTGGGACTCGAGTCGAAGCCCGCCTCGTCGGCATGGACGCAGACCGGCGACAACACGAAGAATCTGGTCATCTGCAAGATTTGGAGTGCGGAGCATGGTTGAATGGGGCATGGGATGCTCTCAAGTGTGGGTCAGATTGGAGTTTAGCATCCTGCGTTGCGAGAGACATACAATCGAGCATGAGTCTCTCTCCAAATGACCAAGCTGAACACAATGCAGAACCCACTCTTAGGGATCCTGTGACACTGAAAACACTCAAGGCGATGAAGCATCGTGGCGATTCGTTCGCGTGTCTCGCATGCTATGACGCGACCACAGCACGCTGGCTCGAGCGTGGGGGGGTGCATGTCCTGCTCGCGGGAGATTCCGCGGCTCAGGTCATGCTCGGCTTTGATCGGACGATTGACATGCCGATGGAGTACGCGATTCAGATGACGGCTGCGGTGAAGCGGGGCGCTCCGGGAACGCTTGTGATGGCGGATATGCCGTTCATGAGCTATCACCGATCGGTGGACGAAGCGATGGGCAACGCTGGTCGATTTATGACAGAGGGGATGGCGGATGTCATCAAGCTCGAAGCGGATGAGACCCAAGCCGGGATTGTCGATCGATTGACTAGGGCTGGAGTACCAATCTGTGCTCATGTGGGATGCAAGCCTCAGGCGAGCTCTGTGACCGGCGGTCCAGTCGCGGCGGGACGGACATCAGATTCGCTTGAGCAGGTAGTGCGGGATGCTCATGCCCTTCAGGACGCGGGCGCGGTCTTACTGCTGATCGAAGCGGTTCCCGATGAGGTGACGGCCCGTGTCATGGAAATCGCTTCGGTCCCAGTGATCGGGATCGGAGCCGGGACGGCCTGCGATGGGCAGATTCTCGTCGTCAATGATCTGCTTGGACTCACGGATCATCCCCCTCGCTTCGCTGAGCCGGTCGCTTCGATTGGGGCGGAGATCATGCGATCTGGGAAAGAGTGGGTTTCGAGGGTCCGTGATGGATCGATTGGGGGTCAGCGGTACTCGATGCGTGCGGGTGAGTCGGAAAAACTTGGATCGACCTCTAAAGAATCTGCCACCAAGGATGCCAGGAAACCGAATACATAGTGTGCAGTTCTGTCTTCTTCCCGCTTGAGCGAATTGGAGTCCACCATGCGGAAGTTTGTCTCGATTATCCCGGCAATGGTCGTCCTGTTAGTCACAGCAACGCTGGTCTTTCTCGCTCCTTCATTGCTTGATCGGTATGCCGTTGCTCAACAAGGGGCGCGGATCACACTTGCTCGGAATGTGCTCGCCGATGACGATATTCTGCGCCGTATAGATCGCGCCGTATCCGCGATTGGGGACACGATTGAGCCGAGTGTCGTTCACATCGAAACAAGAGCGGAGTTCAATGGTGATGAAGTATCGAGCTACGGCTCATATTCCAGCGGAGCGGGTTGGATATTCGATTCTGATGGACATCTGGTCACCAATGCGCATGTGGTAAAAACTGCGGAACGAGTCTCCATCGAGTTCTACAACGGCGATGTTGTTGAAGGTCGTGTGATCGGGACGGATATCTATACGGACATCGCGGTGATCGAGGTCGATCGGTCGCACACCACATTTCCTGCGATGCGCGCCACGCAGAGGCTCCCTCGAGTCGGCGAGCGGGTGTTCGCGTTTGGTTCTCCGTTTGGTTTCAAGTTCTCGATGTCGGAGGGGATCGTTTCTGGACTCGGCCGACAGGCGCAAGGAGCGAGATTGGTGGGGGGGTACACCAACTACATTCAAACAGACGCGGCAGTGAATCCGGGCAACTCAGGTGGGCCACTGGTCAATACTGATGGACAAGTGATTGGTATGAATGTCGCGATCGCGACTGCTGCAAGCACGGTTGGGTCGAATCCAGAGGATTCCGGCGGTGACTCCGCTGGGATTTCGTTCGCGATCCCACTCGGAACTATTGAGCCCATCGTGGCGCAGATCATCGAGCACGGGTCAGTCTCCAGGGGGTTCATGGGGATCTCGTACGACTCTTCTCGTTCGGGACGCGTTGAAGTGGTCAACGAAGAAGGTGAATCGAGATTTGGGATCCGCATCACAGGTGTTGAGACTGACGGCCCATCAGATCGTGCGGGCGTTCTTCCGAGCGATGTCATCCTAAGCGTGCAGGGATCACCAGTGACCAATGCTGAGGCGCTGTCGTCGCTCATTAGTTCACAGCGAGCAGGCAAGCCGATCTCTCTAGAGGTGTATCGCAGCGGAGAGTTTTTGGAGCTTTCAGTCACGCTCGGTCAGATGCGACCAGAAGTGCTCGCGCAGCGGTTGGCTCAACCGATCCAGTTGCAGCTTGGGGCATTGTTCAGCGGGAGTGCCGAGGGTGTGCGTGTGAATCAAGTCTGGAGGGGGATGCCTGCTTCCATGGCGGGTTTGGAGGCCGGAGATGAAATCCGGAGAGTTGAAGGAGAACGATTCGAAGATCTCAGTCAGTTTCTGGTGTTGCTTGCGGATGCGGGACTGCTCACGGGCAACAGCGTCGATGTTACCGTCTGGCGTGAAGGATCTGGGACAGTCGATGTTCGGTTGAGCATCCGCTGATCTGATATAGTCTCGGCATGGCAAAGTCGCTCACCAAGCAAGTCAAGATCAACTGCACTCCTGAGCAAGTCCGTGATTGGTTGTCTGATTGGGACAACATCAAGTCGTGGATGGGAGCGAGCTTGGTGTCGATCGAGATGCTGTCAGAGCACCAGCAGACTGATCCAATGTGCAGCGGTATGCGTTTCCGAGAAACACGCAAAATGGGAAAGATGAACGCGAAAGCGATCATTAACATTGAGCGTCATGAGCTCGTCAGCGGGGTGTTGCATCACAAAGCGGTCTTCGATGACGGCTGCAATCGGATGATCGCGGAATATTCATACGCACCGAGCGAGGGTGGAACGGAAGCAACTTGGACAATGTCGAACGCTCCGAACAAGTGGTGGACCAAAGCGATGTCGGTGGTGACCGGTCCCATGATGATCAAGATGATGGAGAAATGCGAGGGGGATCATTTAGATCGTCTCAAGGATTTGATCGAGGACTCGATATGAGCCACGTGCGGAAGATCAGATGAATGATTGGAATGGCAAACTGGTCTATGTCATGGGACTCGGACGATTCGGGGGTGGTATTGGAGTTGTTCGTTACCTCGCTATGCAAGGCGCTCAACTCCGGATCGGTGATCTCGGTGATGAGGACTCGCTCAGCGATTCGATTAGTCAGATTCGTGTGCTACTCGAACAAGAGCAGGCTGAGCTGCGACTCGGAGAACATCAAGTCGATGACCTCGACGGCGTCGATGTGCTGGTGGTCAATCCTGCTGTCCCGCTCCCATGGAACAATGCATTTATTCTGGAAGCGAAGAGCCGTGGGATAGCGATCACGACTGAGATCGAGATTGTCTACCGATCTTTAGATCCAAGTAGAGTCATCGCCGTGACAGGATCGGCGGGAAAGAGCACCACCAGTGCGATGATTCACCATGCGCTCACGCAACTGGGGTATCACTCAATGCTCGGCGGGAACATCGGTGGATCTTTGCTTACCTATTTGGATTCAATAGCTCAAGAGACTTGGGTGGTGCTCGAGTTGTCGAGCGCGATGCTGCATTGGCTCGGTGAATCCAGGGTATTCAAGTCATCTCCTCCAGCGATCGGGGTGGTCACAAACTGCTTCTCGAACCACCTTGATTGGCACGGTGATGAAGTACACTATGAACAGTCCAAGCGATTGCTCGCAGAGGCCGCAGCCAAAGTGGTACTTGGAGAGCAGGTTTCTCATTGGTGTAGCGGGAACTCTACTGTGATCGAGCAATCCGACGCGGTCGAGGGGGGCTCATTGCCCGGCAAGCATAATGGACTCAACGCCGCGGTTGCCGCGAGTGCTGTGAGTTTGGCTACCGGTGCTGATCAACACACGGCACGAGATGCGGCGGGGAGCTTTTCAGGTTTGCCTCATCGCTTACAGCTGGTCTGTGAAATCGACGGTGTGCGATACTACAACGATTCCAAATGCACGGTTCCCGATGCAACGCTACTCGCACTCGATGCGATTTCGGAGCGAACCGATCGAGCATGTATCCATCTGATTGCAGGCGGATATGACAAGGGGAGTGACTTGTCGTCGATTGCTCACCAAGCCCCATTGCTCGCGGGTCTGTATACGATCGGATCGACTGGGAAGAGCATCTGTGAGTTTGCTGAGTCCAATACGTTCGATTGTGGTGATCTACGAGGCGCGATGATCTGCATCGAGTCCAGAGTGAAAGCGGGGGATGTGGTTTTACTCTCGCCGGGATGTGCTTCGTGGGATCAGTTTGAGAACTATAAAGCTCGCGGCGAGCAGTTTGCCCAGCTCGCTCAAACCAGCAAGCGGAGTGTGGTTTGATTAGTCCAATGATCACATGTTGCATTGTGCTATCTACTCTCGTTTTTGAACCAAATGAGTTGCTGCCAGGAATCGTGGTTGATGAGGGGGTGGTCTACTTTGATGCTTCGATCGCGATGGATTGTCATCATCCGGAAACCCCCGATGTCTATCTCGAGATGCTGATCACCGGTCCAGACACGAGAGAGCACGAATCGCTGTTGGTGACCGATGTCAAGCCGTCCAATCTCCACGCGGCTTTGCTTGCGTCTGGCTTTGAACCCGGCTCGCCGGTGACTTACAACGATCAGCACGATCGCGTATCAGCGACTGGTGATCGATTGCTTGTCGAAGTCCAACTCGAAAGCAGCGAAGACTGGATCACACTGATTGATTGGGTCGTCCATGTAGATCAGGAACTGCAGCTTGTGGATGACCCAGGCTGGGATGGGTTCGTCTTCGCTGGATCGAAGGTTGTTAAGAGCAAGGGGTACATCGCGGATCGTGAGGGATCGCTTGTTTCCTTGACGCCTTGGGGGCATGAGGTCATCTCGCCGACATGGACGCTTTCGCCTGATGCTTCGGTGGATGAGCCCGTCTGGATAGCAAATCGGGATCAGATCCCTCAGAAAGGGGACTCGGTGTGTGTGCGCATCCGTGGAGTGGGGAGCGAAGAATATTCAGCGGATACTGAGGATTGATCACATCAGCCAGATCGGATCTATGTCGATGATTGTCCCAGCATCGGATTTGAGCAGCCCCTGTTCCCTGAGCTTTGCAATGGGTTTCTGGATCAACGCAGCATTGGGAGCGTGAAGCTCTAGACCCCAACGAGCGTGGTTCGCGATCCGAGCGATTGTGCATTCCATGGGACCTTCGATGGAGACGCGTGGATCCGAGAGTGAGACTAGAGCGTCAGCCAACTGCTCAGCACGAGCCTTGGCTTTGATCGCGGCTTGATCCCTGCAGATGATCCGAGCCATACGCGTAGCTGGCGGAAGATCGCACTCTTGACGAGTCCTGAGTTCCTGATCCGCGAAGCTTGGGTAATCGTGCTTGGATGCGAGGATGATTGCTTTATTGCGTGGATTCATCGTTTGGACGATGACCTGTCCAGGAGTGCTGCTCCGACCTGCTCGGCCTGCAACTTGCGCGATCAACTGGAATGTTCGTTCCTCAGCACGGAAGTCAGGAATTGAGAGCGCCGTATCCGCGTTCAGGATTCCGACGAGTGTGACACCTGGGAAGTCGAGCCCCTTTGCGATCATTTGGGTGCCGAGCATGAGCTTGATGTGACCTTTCGAGAATCGGTCGAGGATTGAGAAGTAATCCGATGGGTGCGTCATGGTGTCTGAATCTACACGCACGAAGTTTTTCCCGAGCTCAAGCTGCTGTCGCTCTCCAAGTCTCATCAGAATTTCGTCTTCGGCTCGTTGGGTCCCGACGCCTATCTGTACGATCCCTTTGCCAGTCATGGGACAGACTGTTGGGATGAGCTGTTCACTCAAGCAATGGTGACAGCGAACAAATCTCTTGCCTGCTGAGCTGCGGACTCTGGACTTGTGGACGACCATGGTCGAGTCGCACTGGTCGCATTCGAGGCGCCAATCACAGTTGGGATCGGCGCTGGCGACGACCGAAGCGTATCCGCGTCGATTCAGTAAGAGTATCGCTTGCTCGCCTCGATCTAGTGTCTGGTTGATCTGAGATTC